AACTCCAAGATCTTAATCACGATCATGTCTGGAGCCGGCTTATCCTTTCCAAGGAGCCAGGCGCAGTGAAGTAAAGATTTCCAGGTAAACCAGGTGTAACACATCGTGGAAGTTAATCCTTAAAGACTAAATGCGGGTCACCAATTCGAGTTGGGTTTATATATGTCAATTTGTTTGTCTTCGTATTTTCAGGGTTAACGAATGGTGGTAGTCAAGCTGTGTTGAAGATCATCCCATTGTGTTGTTTTCCGTGTATTCGAACTTCACCAGGTTCTGTTTATTTCTCCACCCAAAACTGATGATTTGGTAATAAGTGTACATGCTGTCAACGAGTAGAAATAACAGTTAAACAGCTGTCCAGCGCTTTCTGGAAGCGCGAACAGAAAAATTTCATCAAATTAAACAATTACCGGTCTATTTCTGCATTTTACAATTAATTGTTTTAATGTTTTCTTTCTTAAGTAGTTTGTATTTCGGCGAAAGCGATGATTTCTTCCGGATAACTTTTGTCCTGCTCAAAATAAAAAAAAGATAAATATATGCTATGGAATAACTCGAAGTGCATAACATTTTAGCCGGTGATTTGTTACCTTCTGTCAAACACCAAACTGATATGAACTACTCATGCCTATTCAACTTGATTAACCAGTTTATCAATTGTGAGTTCTCACTTTTCCACCAGCGGGCATTTAGCATTTTGACAGAAATCATATAATAAGGCAGTTTGTTGAAACAGGGAAGTTTACGGTATACACAAAGATAAACTGGGCTGAGGTTTTGAAATTTTTGAGAGGACCAAATTTGCACTCATCAATCTGATTGAACAGCATCAATTTTTTCAGAATCGAAGTGAAGTGTTACCTATAAGCAATTGGTCATTTTTGAGACTGAAATTATGTGACTTTGGTTTGCACAAGTCACGTGACCGTTCCCTTCTGGTTTCTCATCTGGAACGCGTGATGACAGAGTCTCAGTTCCATTTGGCAGATGTATATGTCCATGAAATCTCACGAAAGTACCTGGAATGACTGGTGGTGCAATCCACTCCCCCCCAATGAGTGTGTTCGTAATTCCAGTGCTGATGAGGCACCGATGTGCTATAAATCGGCTCCTCTGAGAGGTACGTGGTCTAGTTTGCTATATCAGCTAACCTAACATGCCAGAAAATGTGATTTATAAGGCTCAGTCTTGGGAGTAAAACAAACGACGTGAGTGTGGGTGCGGGATTAGCGGCCAGTGAACAAAGCAGATGCGTAGGTGTGTGTTTGTGTTGGGCGAGACACAGACAACGACGAATACTCTTCAATTCGGATGGATGATATAAATCACCTGTCTGAAAAAAGAATGAGTGGCCACATCAACACATCGCGAGCATAGTGGCATCTGATTGCGCTAATTACACGCAAATCTATCCCCAGTGTCTTCTTCAACTTGGCCAGATCCAGAACCCACAAGTTGGATTCCCTGGGGAAAGGAGAGAATAAAAAAATACACGCTCAGTGAATCACATCGATGCAGTCAGTGGTAGACAGGATTATCCGGTAGAGCGGGAAGGGAAAATGGAAAGGGAAATTACTATCACAACTTTTTATTCAAATTTCCGCAATGCCATATTCATGAATGCAACAGTTAAGGGTGGATCAAAAGAAAAATCACTTTGTGCTTCTCTGTGACCAGATAACGTTAACTCTGCGGTTAGTGAACATGCCTGTTTCGTGCATTTCAGTTGAAATCATTTCGCCGAAACATACATAAGCATATGCTGTACGGGAGTAAATACCAGGTTTATAGTTTATTGTTTTTCTCTTTTGTCAGTGGGGGAGGGAGGTGCTCCAACCGTATCACATAAGATAATTATTAACTTACCAAAGTATAACAATCAACGTAAGGGCTTCGTGTCCAACCTCGTCTACCAGACTTATACCATCACTTCTTGTTTAAATCTCTCTCTCACACACACACTGGACCTGTTCAAGTGGGTCCGGAGAACCATTTGTCCATCATAATGACCTGTCTTACACAAGCCAAGGACTGTTATTCTTACAACAACTCGTTCAATCTCTCCAATCATCAGATGAATAGGGGAAATTCTTCATTATTTACTATCCCACTGAAACGGTCGTTTAAAATGAACAAATTTTCTTTTTCTTGTACAAATAAGATATGTAACCTCCCCCTCCCTCTAAGAGCATAATCTAAAGATACTGGATAAACAAACTCCATCGTCAGAGTGTGAGTAACGGAAGCTTCTAGATAACCCCACCACAGGACTTCAACACCTTTTTTGGTTCACCCTTAAACGTTGGAGTAGAATGGATGGGCTCAGTAGGCCGGGAGAGTGCAGGGGGTCAAGGATCAGTTTCAAATGAGGGTATGAGAAAACGGGTGCATTCTTCCGCACGCTGGTTGTCCTAAACACTCCTCTTTGTTACTTCAGCCGCTTCGGAATGGACGTGACTCTTTGCCGTACTGAACCAGCTCATGTTGAGCTGGGAAAACAATCGATGTTTTTGCTCATCGCTTTTTTACCACACGCCAGTTTTGATTTGATGATTTACTCGTGCGCGAAAAAAATCGTTCATTCATGCATACATACACATGGAGAAAGACAAATAATCAAGGGATCCATCCACCGACATTGATTGTGTATAGAGCATTCCATCTGCAAGGGTGTATGTGTGCAAATATCAGACACGAGTGAAAGCAAAGTAAGTAATACTCTTCAATCGAATCGAATTGCAAAAAGATATTGTACTATACCAATGGAGGTGATGAATGTCATCGTAGCGGTAACTGAACCTAGAAAAATAGGTTCAGGTATCACGCAGTCATTTCAATCTCACTCAGTATCTCAAAGTGTGCAACATACAAGAAACCTGCAGAACGTGGAACAATCTTTGACAGTCATTTAGAAACATGCATTCGTTCTGGGGAGAATAACTGACCTTCACGGAAATAAGACCACATAAAATACGGAACACAATGACCGTTTACCAAAATTACAAATCGGATGCTCTCTCAAATCACCAGTACAGGGAAAAGCGATTTTTCGACCTACACAACGGGGTTCATCGCGGTGAGTATTCGTCAAACCGCGGCAAAATTCCAGGGATCATATATTCGGCCCTAACATCCGCTTGCAATCAACCACTCAGAGCTCAACTGTTCTTTAAGTTTATACCACGGGATAACTGTTTCCCGTAGAATTTGGTCTGATTACTCCAGTTCTTATGGCTGAGGTTGCCATGCAGCAAATGTACAAACTAAACTGTCACAAACACGCGTCATCATCTGCAATGCAAACTTGTTTTGTAAAATAGATCAAGCTGATTGATGAGTATTACTTATTACTGTGTTTTGTTCCGTTTTTTCCCTAATTTTGAAATAAAGGAGCCATTCCAGGCTCTCGTATACAAGTGGAAACTAGTATATTTCGTGACTCGTATTGGACTAGTCACATCTGTGTCAAATATGTTCGAGAAAAAAAACTTGGATCAAAGAATACCCATGCAAATGTGTGCAGACAAATGCAGTGCCGCTACAATCTCAATATGTCGCGTGAAAAAAAGTTGATAGCATGTCCCCGTTTGTCCCAGATGCGTAAATATTCGCTCGAAAGTTCAGTTGGCTAATGACATGTGCACCACATGGTTTGAGGGATAGAAAGAACTGTGAAAGAGAGAAAGGGAGAGAGTAAATGAATGAACCTAGTTCATATCAAAATTTAAGAGCGATTTCAAATGGCTGTCAGAGTTTATAGCGATATAAATATCCCTATTAGTCGTAACGATTTTAATACTGAAACCGGTTGTCATACATATTTTCATCTTCTCTTCAGAGCTTGAGACAGAGGCAATATGAATAGTAGATTTTCGCAAGAGTCCTGTCATCCATTGTTTGCTTGAGACAGTATGACTTCATCTGTGAAACGATATTTTCACATATATTTTGACCACTGTCAGTCTGTGTGAGTCGTCCAAGCGTCTAAAACAAGTACCTAAATTTCATTCAGATTATTGTAGGATTTCCAGCCTTGCCTAATTACTAGTTTGTTTAAATTCTTTAATTTTAATGTTACTTGTAAACTACTTATTCTACTTCACAAATTGCACTCCATCCCCCGCCCCGCAGCGGTCTACCCACATCCATGTTGTTTACACCCCCTCTCCTCGCCGTTCACCACCCACTCCACTCTCGTGATCTACACACAATTGCTTTACTGTTGTTTTTAGACAAATTTATTTAAATTACTAGTCCAACATAAATGATCCCTGATGCATTATCAGCCATAACTGAGCGTCACTTGAATGCGGATTACCGAGTCCTCAACTCCCCCCCCCCGCC